CTGCCCTGTAGCTGCAGAGTTTTTAGAGATGGGGGACACAGGAACCCCCCAGGATGGGGGAAGGAGCAGCAAAGGCTTCCCCAAACTTTGCTGCAGCTTCACCTCACGCTTGTGCCACCCCAAAAAAAAAAAAAGCAGATTTTGCAACTTGTACAGAAGCTTTTCATAAAAAAAAAAAAAACAAAAAACCCCACGTTTTTAGTGATTTTAGATACTTTTGTACGCTGTAGGATCTCATTTCACAGCCCAGGCAGAATCTGTGGCACCTCGAGCTTTATGACTGAAATAAACACAGCGATACTCCCCTGTTAATTTTTTTTTTTTTTAGACACATTTCTTTCGTGTTTTTTTTTTTTTTTTTTTTTTTAAACAAAATAAGCGCCAAAATCACGGCCACACACCCCCCCAACCCCAGCCAGGACTCAGAAAGACAAAAATCGGGCGATGCCTTCGATCGCAGCCGCGGAATCGGTGCTAGAGCAGGTCCCTGATGTAAAGGCTCCTCCTGACGGCGTTGGAAAAGCCCTCGTGGAAACGGAACCAAACATCGCTGCTGCCCACAGCCTTCCCCATCCGCGCCTCCAGCAGCTCCTCCCTGCAAACCTGCGCGGCTGCACCGGCAAAATCCGCTTGGAAAATCCCCCAAAGTGCTCAGAGATCCCCGCCTGCGGTTCTGGAGGGTCTCACCCCCCACCCAGACCCCGAATTCCCTCTGGATGGGGCAGGAATGGATGGATTTGTCCCGGGAACTCCCCTGCCAGCTGCAGTGGGGTGTGTTTGTGTCCCCTGGGGACAGGAGCCTCTCTGTGGTGCTGGAATTGGGAATGGGAACACCTGGGGTCACCCCTGTCCCTGTGTCACCCATCTGGGCTGGGGTCACTCTGTGTCACCCACCCAGGGCTCAGGGTCACCTTGTCCCTGTGTCACCCACCCAGGGCTCAGGGACACCCCTGTGCCACCCACCCAGGGCTCAGGGTCACCCCTGTCCCTGTGTCACCCACCCAGGGCTCAGGGTCACCCCTGTCCCTGTGTCACCCACCCAGGGCTCAGGGACACCCCTGTGCCACCCACCCAGGGCTCAGGGTCACCTTGTCCCTGTGCCACCCACCTGGGGCTGGGGTCACTCTGTGCCACCCACCCAGGGCTCAGGGTCACCCCTGTGTCACTCACTTTGTCCCTGTGTCACCCACACAGAGCTCAGGGCCACCCCATCCCTGTGTCACCTACCTTAGCCTGGAGCCACTTTGTCCCTGTGTCACCCACCTGGGGCTCAGGGTCACCCCTGTCCCTGTGTCACACAGAGCTCAGGGACACTTTGTCCCTGTGCCACCCACCCAGTTCTGAGGCCACCCTGTCCCTGTGCCCTCACTTTGTCCCTGTGTCACCCACCCAGGGCTCAGGGACACCCCTGTCCCTGTGCCACCCACCCATTTCTGAGGCCACCCCATTTCTGTGCCATCCCCCTGGGACTGGAACCATTTTGTCCCTGTGCCACTCAGCCAGTTCTGAGGCCACCCCATCCCTGTGTCACCCACCTGAGCCTGGAGCCACTTTGTCCCTGTGCCACCCCCCTGGGACTGGAACCATTCGGTCCCTGTGCCACCCACCCAGCTCTGAGGCCACCCCATCCCTGTGTCACCCACCCAGAGCTCAGGGACACTTTGTCCCTAGGCCACCCCATCCCTGTGTCACCCACCCGGGGCCGTGGTCGCCTCTTTCCTCTGGATTGGCCTCCCAAAAAAATCCGTCTCGGGCTGTGGGAAGCAAAAATCAGGAACTGAGGTGGCCCTGGAGCACCTGCACTGGCAGCTGCTGCTCAGAGAGGGACAAAAACAGGACAAAAAAAATCTCCCTGGGCCAGGCTCAGACACCCCAGAGCTCTCCTGGGCAGAGCAGGAGCCAAATGCAAATCCTGCAGGAAGGGCCAGGGAATGCAAACAGCATCCAAATTTGGGGGAAAGGCAAAAATAAAAATTAAAAAAAAGTGAGGCTCGGGTGGGGTTTTAGACCCAGCAAAGAGGTGGCAGCTGAGCCCTGCAGAGGGGCAGTGCCAGGGAATGATCCCAGCTCCTCTTGGATCATCCCAGAGCAGCTTTTCCAAGCTGCATCCTCCCAGAGCCCAAATTCAGCGATTTCAACCCCAAATTCCCACAGCTCCTCCCTCCCCCAGCCCTGAAAACTCCCTGGGACACATCCAAAATGTCACCCAGCCCCAATTCACGGCAGTCCCAGCGAGGCCTTTATGGGACACACCGAGCTGAGCTGGGCTATTAAAGGAAACTGGACTAAAAAACCAAATTCCAGTGGAGCCAGGGAGTGCCTGGCAGCCCAGGGAAGGGGAATGGGGACAGGAATGGGGACAGGAATGGGGACAGGAATGGGGGCAGGAATGGGGGCAGGAATGGGGGAGGAATTGGGGAAGGAAGTGGGGAAGGAAGTGGGGAAGGAAGTGGGGAGGAATTGGGGCAGGAATTAGGGCAGGAATGGAGAAGGAATGGAGAAAGAATGGGGGCAGGAATTGGGGCAGGAATTGGGGCAGGAATTGGGGCAGGAATGCAGCCCTGACCTTGTCCTGCACTGCTGCTCTCCTCACGATGTGCTCCAGGTGCTGCTGGTGGCTGGGGGTCTCTGCTGGCTCCTCCCTGAGGCCATTGCTGGGGTCCTGTGGGGAGGACAGACCCGGACCAGGCTCCCCTTGGGGTGGCTGAGCTCCAGGCTGGGGCACCGAGCATCTGTCACCCCCCCCTTGTCCCCCATCCCAGCCACCCCCTGCAGCATCCCGAAGATTTTTCCATCATTTTCTGCCTCGTGGGATCAGCCCCAGCTGAAACCCCTTTCCCCTGGGATTTCCCATCCACACCGTGTAAACAAGGAGCCCTCAGAGATGTTTTTGAAGCTTCTCTTTGTCCCACACATCCCCCAGGAGCCTTTCTCCTGCTCCAAGGGGCTCCCAGGGATTAATTATCCTGCTGGCACCAGGCCAGGACAGGCATTGGCTACACCCAGGATGTTTCTCCACCTTTTCCACCCCTTCCCATCTTTTCCAGCCTCCAGGAGAGCGGGCAGAGCCACTTTGGGGACTTTGGGACATTTGGGAAGTGCAGCAGCCAGGGAAGGGGAAGGAAGGGGAAGAGTTCACCTCCCACAGACAGCAGCCCAAAAAATTCCCACTTCCAAATTCCCACCTCCTCCCTGGAGGGTGGAAGAGTTCAAAGCTTGAATCCTTCCAGAATTCCTGCAATAAAGCTCAGCCCTCCAACCCAGCCCAGCTGTGCAGTGAAACATCTGCAGCTGGGGGAGGGGGGGCTTAATCCTGGATTAAATCCAGTGGCTGCTTTGGGAAAAACACATCCCCAGGGATTTTCTCCACGTTTGCCCAGCCCTGGCAGCCATTTGGGAAATGCCAACCTGTGCCAGGTTTCGTGCCTCTGCCCTCCTCATCTTCTCCAGCTCGATCTCCCTGGCAATGAGCTGCTTGGCCTGGTAGCTGAGCTGCCTCCGGGCTGGCAGAGCAGGGAAACGACACACAGCTTCCACATTCCTGCAGGCCAGAAAAACAGGGAATCAACCCCAAAAAACACCCAGCTCTGCACAGCCTGCAGGCCAGAAAAACAGGGAATCAACCCCAAAAAACACCCAGCTCTGAACTGCCACGAGCACAGAAAAACAGGGAATCAACCCCAAAAAACACCCAGCTCTGCACAGCCTACAGCACAGAAAAACAGGGAATCCATCCCAAAAAACACCCAGCTCTGTACAGCCTGCACAACAGAAAAACAGGGAATCAACCCCAAAAAACACCCAGCTCTGAACTGCCACGAGCACAGAAAAACAGGGAATCCATCCCAAAAAACACCCAGCTCTGCACAGCCACCAGCACAGAAAAACAGGGAATGAACCCCAAAAACTCAGCCCTGTCCTGGTGACAGCAAAGGAAGCTGCTCCCTTGTCTTTAATCCCATTAAACCCAACCTGCTGGGAGTGGGGCAAAGCCAAAAGTCCCAAATTCTCCCTGAGATTCATCACAGGCTCCTGGAACGGTTTGGCTTGGGAAGGATCCTAAAACCCTCCAGCTCCTTCCACTTACTCCAATTCCCATCCAGCCTGGCTTTGGCCATTCCAGGGATCCAAGGGGCAGGCACAGCTTTTCTGGGAATTGCACCCAGCCCCTGCCCAGCTTCCCAGGGATGGATTTGGGGTGCCCTGGGCAGTCGTGGCACTCACGGGTCCAGCTTGAAGATGTACTGGCCCTCGGGCAGGCGCTCCTGCAGGTAGGTGAGGTTGTAGGTGAGCATGGTGCTGA